CGCAGTGGCTTTACAACATTGACGCAAATAGTTATAGTATTTTTCTCGGAGACACATGAATGGCGATCTAGTCTCAGAATTAATAGTCACAAGAAGATACCCCGCGCGTTGCTGTGGGACTCTCTTATAAATAAAAATGTTGCATATATGAGTTAAATCATCTACATGTTCTTACGTCCATTCTTATCAAAATTGGTTGCATTAAGAGGTTAGAACTTAGAAGTAGTGGGATGACATGGCTATTAGTGAGAGATGATGTGAATAGTTAGTAGAAAATGATGTGGATGACTTGCATTTTGAGATAGAACTTGTAGTGGAGATTAGCTTTATAAGAGATATAGATATAGATATAGATAGATATAGATTAAGAGATTGGAAGGTAGTGGGATGACATGGCTATTAGTGGGAGATAATATGGATAGTTAGTGAAAAATGATGTGGATGACTTGCATGTTGAGGTAGAACTTGTACTGGGGATTAGCTTTATAAGACATATAGATAGATATAGATTAAGAGGTTGATGGCAAATGACGTGGATAGTTAGTGGAAAATGACATGGCTATTAGTTAGAAATGATGTGTATAGTTAGTAAAAAATGACGTGGATGACTTGTATTTTGAGATAGAACTTGTAGTTTGGATTAGCTTTACAAGAGATATAGATAGATATAGATTAAGAGGTTGGAAGGTAGTGGGATGACATGGCTATTAGCGGGAGATGATGTTGATAGTTAGTGGAAAATAATGTGAATAGTTAGTGAAAAATGATGTGAATAGTTAGTGAAAAATGATGTGGGACTTGCATGTTGAGATATAACTTGTAGTGAGGATTAGCTTTATAAGAGATATAGATAGATATAGATTAAGATGTTGGAAGATAGTGGGATGACATAGCTATTAGTGGAAGATGATATGGATAATTAGTGGAAAATGGTGTGGATGACTTGCAAGTTGAGATAGAACTTGTAGTGGGATTGGGATGACATGGCTATTAGTACTGGGAGATGATGTGGATATCTAGTGAAAAATGATGTGGATAACTTGTAGTGAGGATTAGCTTTATAAGAGATATAGATAGATAGATATAGATTAAAAGGTTGGAAGACAGTGGGATGACATGACTATTAGTGGGAGATGATGTGGATAGTTAGTGGAAAATGATGTGGATGACTTGCATGTTGAGATAGAACTTGTAGTGGGGATTAGCTTTATAAGAGATATAGATTAGGCTGTCAAGCTCTTTTGTTTTTGTTTTTAGGCGGTGTGCTTTTGTAGAAGCCAAAAATAGATTCATAATTACTGTATCAACTCGATGTAATGCTTATGAATTAATAAAATAAAAATAGGAAATACAAACTCTAATATAGTCTAAGTCAAGCTATCTCAAGCTAAATAAATTTTCTCTCATAGTTTAATGAAATTTGTCTAAGCGACTTATATATAACTTAAAACAAAAGCTATAGCTAAGTTCTTTTTTAGGCTCATTGAGTAATAGCTAGCAAATATGCGCGCGTGTTGCAACGAGAGAAAAACAAGTCTTACAGACATAATAAACAAAGGTTAATACGACTTAATTTGTTGCCTTTTCTATACCTTCATGGAACAAAATAAAAGGCATTATCTTTTCTCATGACACCGCATTCGGGGTTAACTTACCGTAAATTTCTAGAGCGTTTCACGTGTCCACGACCACTCGATCACGCTAACGCATGGCACCGGGGACCTACTTCTTTTTGTGATGCATAGCAGGACATAAGCATCCCGCATCCTAGTATTAGATTCTCCATCCATTGTCTTTCCATCTATTCCCTTTTTCATGGCAAAACGTGTCCCGCCATTCACCGTCTCTCCACCTCCAAACCAGTTCTCCTCTTATCTTGCTGCTTGGGAGAGATGAGCATGCTCATAGAGCATAGCTAGGTGCGAGCTCCTCCAAATCCCTTGCAACAGTTCTAACATGTGAGCTTCTAGAGCAGATCCCACCGGAGCACCTCACCGGGGTGTTAGTCCGCAAGCTCAGCGAGGCGAGTAATGGCGGAGCCCAATGCAACGCGGCGGGTCCTGGAGTGTGGGTTAAGGGATCTACGGTCGCCCCAAGTGCAAGGATGGTGGGTCCTGGCGTCAAGGTGTCGACTCTCGAGTCTCGATTGTCGACCGTGCATGCTTGAGGCGATGATGACCTCGTTGCTATGTGCGATGCCGTTTCAAGCAGCCATCTACCATGTCCACTCCATGAGGTCCGCGACGTGTAGCGTGGTGAACGGGTGGTGCGATAGGCCGACAGCTTTGCCGTGGTGGCTTAGCCATGCGGGCGGTGTGGCAGACCAACAGCTCGGGCAGTGTTGCGGCAGACTCAGCCCCCGCAACCGTGCTGATGAGAAGTAGCACCAAGGCGGCGACAGGTTAGTGCGATCCAATTATTTATGGTCGTCTTCATCTATTCTAGATTTTCTCCTCATTTACCTCGCTCTAGTAGGTCCGTGTTGGATTCGTTTTGGAAAAAAAAATTGCGTCTATACATGATCTGTGTTACATTTTTATTGAAATGTTGAACCCATGTTTATTCACCACTGATTTTGGATGTTTATTCCGCCCTTGTTTAGTTCGCGAAATTTGGATTTTGGGGCTACTGTAGCACCTTCGTTTTTATTTGGCAAATAGTGTCCAAACATCGACTAATTATGCTTAAAACGTTCGTCTCGCAATTTCCCACCAAACTGTGCAATTAGTTTTTCTTTTCGTCTACATTTAATGCTCCATGCATAAGCCGTAAACATTCGATATGACAGGTACTGTAGCAATTTTTTGGATTTTGGGTCCAACTAAACAAGGGCTCCGTCTCCTCTACGTTTGGATTCGAATTAGTTTTGGACAAGGACGTTGGAGTTGACAGCGGTTATGATTCTTGTGAGTTGTGACGGCGAGGCCCAGACTGTTAGGAGAGAGAAATAAGTACGGAAGAAATTTTGGATTTTTAATGTTATTAGGTAGATCTTGTCGTTTTCTAGTTGGATTCCTATTCAGACTATTGAAGATAAGAGAAATTTATTTGGATTAAGGTTCCTAGCTTTTAAGGTTACTTTCAAAAAAGTCCTACATATGCCAAATATAAAATCGAAGAGGTAGACAAACATGAACAGAAACAATTTCCACATTTATGGAGTTAGTTAAGGAATGTCAGACGAAACAAATGCGAGAAATTTTGCTTCTTTATTATTAGCTATATATAATATATGTAGTCCGAACAACTGGACGAAAATAGAAAAATATCTTCTCTCAATATGTAAATTGTAGTAAAATATACTATCCATTCCCCCATGTCAAGAAAGCTATATACTAGTATATCCCTGATCATCCGCTACGTCGTCTGCCAACAACTTGTACGCCAAGCGGCTTGTGCTACATCACCGAAAAAGATCCCCCGTCCTACTAAAAAGGAAAATGAAAAAAAATGAAAACAAGAAGACGCCCCCTTATAACAATCCACAGAAAAGGTCCAGTTGCAAGCCACAGAAAAAAATGTTTATCGTGACGCTTCTGGCAGTCTGCCACTGACAAAAAAAAAGAAAAGACAGTTCGCACCACGTAGACGGGTTGTCCCCCCAAATGAGCGGCTTCGTCAGCATCCGGCGGCCGAAACCGGAAACCTCCCAGTCCCAGTCCCAGTCCCAGACCTTGCCGGCGGTCGCCGTGGATTCGGCGTCCTCGCTGCCAAAAACAAGCATTATTTGGGAGCCGAGGTGCGGGCGCGTCCAGTCCGCGTCAGCCGTCAGCCACACACGCAAACACACTGCACTGCAAGAGGGGCGGTGTATGTGCCCGGCGCAACTTGGCGCGAGAATAACAGAAAAATGGCCACCACCACAGCTGGTGACCACTGCCAAGCGAAAGGAACCGGAGCGATGTGCCTCCAGGGGGGAAAATCTTGTTCATCTGGACGCACGCGCGCGCGGCCGGGGCCTCCGTGGCCAGCTCCTGGACCGAATCTTCTTCCCCTCCCGGAGCTTTTCCTTGTATCATCAATTCATCATCCTGGCCACTGAAAAGTCTACGTACAAGGTATTTGCCCAGAGTCAGTTTGCAGAAAAAATGGGGGGTTTCTTTCCACGGTGGCCACTGGCAGTCCCCATCTGCTGGTTGCTGCTTTTTGCTGCAGATTCAGCAGGGCGGCAGGGCCTATAAATACGTCCGTCGCCTGGCATGCACTCCACGGAACAAAGTTTATCAGCCATGGTATGGCTGGTACAGTAACAGGTCTAGAAGCCGCTTGTACTGATTTGTACGACTGATTTGTTGGGAGATAAAAATATTGTACCATAGCTGATAAGCCGCCGAACATAGCCATCTCAGCCACCTCGATCTCGGAGAGAGCTAAACTGACGGGAAGAAGAGCATTAGCGTGAGCACACACATTGCTCGCCTGGTTTGCTGGCTTGGAGGTTGACGACGAGTCATGCCGGCCTGCTTCTTACCAGCATCCATGGCGAGTCAGGTGCAGCGGATGCTGCCGTCCTCGTCCTCGTCCTCGTCCTCGCTGCAGCCGCTGCCGGTCATCAACCTTGCCAAGCTCAGCAAGGACCCTGCCACACGGGCGCTCGCCATCCAGGACATTGCGCGGGCGTGCCGTGAGCAAGGGTGCTTCCAGGTCAGTTCGTGCTGCTGTGTGCTGCTTGTCTGTTGCTCTGTCTATCATCCCAACACTTGTTCGCTGGTCTGCACTGCGTGATCAGTGAAAACAAGTGTCAGACATGGGTATTCTCGAAAAAAATTACAAAGACACACATGTCTTGTGTGTTCTTTAAAAGAAAGTTAAAACAAGCGTTGCAATACACATGCAGCTCATGCTGTGACCCAGGCTGACCAGTTTTACTTATTAAGATGGAATTTTGAAGTGTCAAGTTACCAGTGATCGAGTGAACAGACCACGTGCATGCAAACCCAATTCTGATCTGATGCTTCAGTGCCAATGCTGATTGATACCGCTGTGCTGACGATTGACAGGTGGTGAACCACGGTGTCAGCAAGAACGTCATGGCAGGCGCATTCGAGGCCGCCTCGGAGTTTTTCCAGCTCTCGCCAGAGCACAAGGAGCTGTTTGCATCAACCGACATCCGAAGGCCTGTCAGGTACGACACGAGCTCAAGGGACGGGATCAGCAAGGCCAGGTCGTTCCTGAAGCACTACGCCAACCCTCTGGAAGACTGGGTCGAGTACTGGCCACTGCACCCTCCATCATACAGGTAATTAACCTGCAAAAAAACCTGCACACATTGTTACACAGATGAATAGATAGGTCTTAGTTTTCCATCAGCTATCCTAACTTCTGTCATTTTTTTTGTTGTCTAAAATGATTGACAGGAAGAAGATGGGGGACTATGCAGTTGAAATACAGAGAGTGTCAATGCAGCTCATGGACGCTATCCTGCAAGGTTTAGGGCTAAGGCCATTGTACATGCAAGAAAAACTTGAGAAGGGAGTGCAGTTCCTGGCCCTGAACAACTACCCACAGTTCTCACATCGAGGTGACAAGGTCGGATTGGCTGCTCATTCTGACTATGGTTTCCTCACAATCCTGCTGCAGAACTCCCCAGGGCTCGAAGTGATGCCCCACGACCGTGACACCTGGACGGCTGTCCCCGCGATCCCTGGGGCCCTCCACGTCCATGTCGGGGACCACCTAGAAGTCTTGAGCAATGGTCGTCTCAAGTCCCTTGTCCACCGAGCCATTCTCAATCCTGACGAAGCAAGAATTTCCATTGCCAGCATCCATGGCCTCTCAATGGATGAGAAGGTCTGCTGCGCTGAGCAGCTGGTCGATGAGGTGAACCCAGCAATGTACAGGGAAAGCAGCTTCCAGGACTTCCTCGAGTTCCTACCGTCAAATATCAACAACTACAAGAGGTTTGTTGAGAGCCTCAAGATCGACAGAGCTTAGAAGGAAAACTGGTTCCACCACACCAGAACATAGATAAATGGCATTCTTCAAATCAATATATCAGTCAGGTGGGGGATGCTCTCCCCTCCTGTCAAATTATCAAAAAAAAAAATGGCATTCTTCAGATAAGAATGGAAAGCTAGATGAAACCAAAAAAATATATGGATGTCTTTCAAATGGGTATTGTGATGGCAAGAGGAATCTATATGGCTTTGCAGCACTGCTACATGCAGCCAGTTCCTATTGGAAGATACAGATTCATATAGACATAGCAAACACTTTGGCTCTACAATATATATTCAGCAGAGCAGGTCTCTCCAAGTGATATCTGGCTGATGCTTCTCTGGAAGTTAAAGAGTCTAGTCCTACATTCTTAGTACTAAAATGGTCATTTAGTTATGTCTAAATGGTGGAGAGCCAGACTATTTACTGTTGTGTTGTACCATATGTGTATCTCTTATTATTACTACTAGTCTACTACAGTATCTGCAGTGTATATGCAGTCAATAATCGCTGCAGGTAAGGTAAGGTAATGTATCAGTAGAGCTGCGCCCACGCTCAGCCTGGGTGCATCAGGCTGGACAGAGGTGTGATTAGCATGGTTCCCTTTTTTCCCCCTTTTTGTTTCTTTGGGGAAATGCATCGTAGCTGCATGTCTCTTTCACTAAAAGGAGGACCTAGGGAACCTTGCTAGGTTTTTCAGGTTGTTTGGTCCTACACTATGTGTTTATCAATCTTGTACCAGTTAAATGAATAATAAAGTGTAATAATTATTGCATGAGATTTGCTGCCCACCATATGTCCATATCATCGTATCATAAATTGCAAAGATTTTTCAGTTACCTGGAAAAACAAAAGAGAACTATGTGGAAAAACAAAAGATTGAGGACACGACCCAAGTGTGTGTGCTTGTCATTCCAGTCAGCGGTATTGGCCGACAGAGCAGAAGTGGTAGATGTAAACCTAGAAATAAGGGAGGTGGACAATGCAAAGAGAAAGAGAAGTACAATGACACAAGGCATATATAGAATAGAAGGGTCATTTTCATGCAGTCCCTATTAGCCAATAATTCAAGACGACAGAGGTGTCTGCTTCAGCTGCGGAAATTCAACAAAAGCTGCTATGTTGCAGCTACAGAAAAAAAAGGACAGCAAATGATCCTGAAGGCACATGAAAGTTCCAATTGAATGACAACCAAATCCACATGACACCACATCTTCTCTTGGTTGAAAATGAAGAGAGGACTGACGAACTGTTGATTTTATTTTTCAGATCCAGGATAAGCCCAGTATCTGTTGAAAGAGATTGTCAGCTTATGGGGAGTTGGGACACCAGTTAACTATAATACTACTGGAATGGAATCAATTCCTGTGTAGTTGACTGCAAAGTGCGTTTGTCAATGGCAGGTGGGGACCATGACAAAGTCGCATGTGACGTCTCATGGCACTGGAAACTAAACCACTCGCTGAAAAAAAAGGGACAACAAAACGGAGTAGCTTACTCCCTCATCCCATATTAACGTCCCCCGTATGTTAAATGATGTTTTAGAATCTTTCATGGAAACCAAACGCTAAAGTCAAAAGACCGAGATGTATTGAGAAAGAAAAGTATCTCTACAACTAAAAAATCTATAAGAGAATCGTTGATGAGCGTGCGATAAAAAATCTTGTACAACATTCTCCCTCTCCCCTGCGATCCCCGCCCGCCCGCACGCACCTGTATGCACACAATAATTGTAAAAAGCTGATCCGTCGAATCTGGGCGCCTGGCTCTCGTCCGTAAAAGAAGGCTGCATGAGAGAGAGTTATGATGCCCTGCATGCTGCATGCAACCGTAAAAAAGGAATTTTTTTCTGTACCCGACACACAACCCACAAAGGCAGGCGGTGGCAGGCAGGCACGTCCCCACCCCCTCACCACCGCATGTCATGTCGTCATCTGTACTGCCCGTGCGTTCCTACGGAAAAACCAAACTTTTGTAGAAAACAATACTATAAAATATCACTTTAACATCGATATTTAATTTTACAATATTATTATCTTATCCTGCGATCTGTGTATTTTTAATATAAAAATTTAGTTGTTCCATAGCAACGCACAGGCACGAACTAGTGTTAGAAAAAGGAAAGGATGCAATGGAAAGTGAGAAGGTCAAATATTTTAGAAAAATTTGGATACTAACTAGTTTGAGACGGATGGAGTAGCGTAAAACCAGGAAGGTCAAAATGAAAGACAAGGACGCAGCACTGAAACCAAAATTCGTTTGGGGTACCTTTTTGGAACTTCTCATATTTCCATCACTAGATAAGGGCAATAAGAGCATACCCAACGCGGGCTAACAAAGATGGTGGTCTCCGATAAAAGTTGCTGCCATGTTTGATGTTGAAAACTTGAGACTATCAAGTTCCTAACGCAGACTAACACTTCCACTCTTTTACGGTCCCACGAGTCTGTACTTGTAGCAGACAATTTGCTTCAGCTTTTGTGCCTAAAGTAGACTACCCCAGACAAGATTCTACCCAAACCACCGGTCTGTATTTCACAACGCAAGCCACAGCTAGTGCTTCTTCATTTCATCAGACCAAATTGTAGGTCCTCCTGCAGGCTGCTCTGCGCAGCTGGGACTACTATACAGCGTGTCGCGTTGGGGTGGCCTAACAACAACTAAATTCTAACCTAGTCAGCGAAAATCAAGGGACCCCAAAAAGTCTAAGGGCAAGTATATATCGCTATATCACAGCAGTCTTATAATGTCGTGCAACGTAGGATTTTTGCTAATATGAAGTGAGGAGAGCTGAGAGAGAGAAAAAGTCGTGGACATTAAAAAGAAAAAGAAAAAGATCGTTATTTCACGAAACCACCATCTCATGGGTTAAAATTTAGGATTATAAGAAAACTACTGTACCATCGTAGGAGTTGCTGGTGCAACTTACAACTTTAACTTTTTACCTGTGAGTTACTGTGAGACAACTAGCAACTTAAAAGACAATTATGATACATGTTGTCTGTTAATAAGTGTCTTAAATTAACGTGGCATTATATAAGACTCCTACGAGACAAAAAAGACTCCTAATTGACAACAGAACCAACATTTCTGTGGCACTAAAGCGTATTTTCTTTCTTTTTTTCTAAAGAGAAAAAAAGGTTTCTTTTTAGCACACGTGGGCCACGGCGTGTGGCAGCGTGGCCGTCTGCAACTCGTCGAGACGACTCCGCTAGTCTGCAACTGCAACTGCAACGAGCGAGGAGAAAGTTGGATCACGAACTACAACCCTGAATGGCGGAACCGGAGCACAGATTCCTAAGGAACGGAGAAACCCTAGGGCCAAATCAATCACCGGCGCAAGCACAATCAACCATGGTATTGCACCCCAGAGCAGAGCTCACGTCTGCACCAGCAATACTGACGAAGGAAATGGCGAGGAGAAGCAGCAGGCGGAAGAAGAAGAAGGGGGGACTGGCCGAGGGCTGAGGCTGACTGACCTTCGCTGCCAGTACGCCGAGTCGACCAGTCTGCTCCGCCTCCCTCCGCGCCCGGACGGATGGATCGGACACCCCTCCGGCGTTTCCGCTCTGGCAGACATGCAGGCAGGCGCCGCAGAGGCCGCTATCCCCACTCCCACTCCTGAGCAGGGGCAGGGGCAGGGCGCTGGAATCTGGGAGTGGGAGTGGGAGTGGGGTGGAGACGCGGAGTGGATGCGCGCGCGGTGGCCCGGCGGTGCCGCCCAAAACACGCTCGGAGCGTCAGCACGGACGTGTCGAGGAGACGGGGGCCGGAGGGAGGGCCGGCGTGCGGGGGCGCGGACACGTGGTGCACGGGTGGGTCCGTGGGTGTCGGGTGGGCAGCCCTCGCTACACTCGCCGCGCGACGACGACGGAATCACACGCGTCTGGTCTCGCGCCTGTTGTTTTTTTTTCTTTTTCTTTTCTCCTCTGGACTAAGGCCTCGTTTAGTTGAGGCCAGTAGCGCCTGTAGCTATATTAGATACTGTACCATTTTGTTTGTATTTGATAATAATTATCCAAACGTTGACTAATTAGGTTCAAAACGTTCGTCTCGTAAAGTACAACCAAACTGTGCAATTAGTTTTTGATTTCGTCAACATTTAGTACTTCATGCATGTACCACAAATTTGATGTGACGAGTAATCTTCTTTTTGTATAGTGCTAAATTTTGAATTTGGGATGAACTAAACAGGGCCTAACTGTTGCTGATCCAGACTCCAGAGAGCAGGGAGGGACGGTGCATCTCGCCTGCCGAACGTCCCAAAGCAAAGCAGCCAATGAGTGATAGGACGCAGGGGCGCAGGGCAGGTTATGCTCCTCCAGCTGTCTTGGAGTTGGAGGGAAGGGGCGGAAGGGGTTTGGTTTTGGTTTGATTTCTGATTTTTTTTTTCGTCTCGTCTCAGCTCGTCACGACCCGGTTTAAAGATGAGATAGGACGAGATCGGTTTTTTATATGTGATCGTTCAGTTTTTAGGACGTGTGATCATCTATAATTCTATATATTGTGTGTGTATGGTTAAGAAGATAGATTTATTTTAGGAGGCCGTTTGGATCTTTTATTTTAGAGAAATTAGAATTTATTTAATGGATTAAGTTATTTAGCTTGGAATTTAACATTCCATAACTTTTTTAAACTCAGACTATCTTAAATTCATAGAGTGAGAGATGGAAATTAATTCTACAGATCACTATGTTATATTTTTACTCTACAAGCTATAGCATGCTCTTCAACTCACTTTTCTACCACAAAAATGCAACATATAAGTATCGCCCTTGTATGGCTATCAATAATATACAAATATATTCCATATACAATCATATTAGCTTAATTAATTGATGTCTAAATTATAATTATTAAAATGAATTCAATTCCAAGGATCCAAATGAAGCCTAATTTTTTTATTTGGTTGGATAGATTTAGACGGATAAAATACTATATTTTAGTTATCACTATGCACCCTATGTCTTTTAACCATTACTGCTTTTACCTCGTCT